ATAACCAGAAGAGCAGCTTAGAATAAATCATCACCGTCATCATGGCAACTCGAGAATCAGGTATTCAATTGTATTCAAGTTGTTTGATATTTATTTATACATATATACATACATATTTTTAAATTCTGGAGAACTTTTGCTTTGTTCTTATTTAGTAGATATCCAAATTTTATTACTGAAGCCTTTTCAAAAATCTCAATCAGGTCGTTTGAAGGATGGATCCTCACGGCGCATCCTGGATGAAGCTGCGCGTCGCCGCAGGGCCCGGAAAGCACTGGAGGCACTTGAACAAGACAATTTCCATGATGACCCCCATGCAAATCTTGTTATGAGCAAAAAAGCACCAAAATTTGATGAATCATTGGATGGCAGTAGAAACAAGGATCGCAAAAGACGAACTCGGAGCACTGAATACTTTAAGCAGCGGTAGGTGGCTTTGAGTTTGTTTACAAATTGGGGTGGTGATTAGTTTTACATAATAGAAAGCCCCTTCTAGGCAAAGAGTTATTTGAGCTTATATTTGCAGTACAGGTTTTGCTTTTTGTTAGTATGTTAACCCATTCCCGCTGGGTATGCCATGCCATGCCCACTGTGAGATTACTTGTTAGATTGTTTTTACACATAGATGACTACACTTGTACTAAATCACCAATGAGCCAGTTACGAGTACCGCCTGTCTCGCCAGTTCATCCTTTTCTATGATTTACAAAATATTTTACGTTATCTTATTTTGCTGTTACTAATGTTAAAAAACATCATAATAATTATAATGTTTATAATAAAAATAATACCATCAATATTCATGACACTAGTGAAAAATACGTTTTTCCCGCCATTTCAAATCAGGCACTAACAGAGCCATCTATGGGCAAACATTTCACAAAAAATATAGAAAATAGGCACAGCATTTTCCCCATTTTTTGTTCATTTTCCCCGGCGGCAATGGGTTAATTGTGAAGTTAAACCAAAATTAGATCTACAGTGAACAGAAATACAGACGTTTGTTTGAAAATGAAATGAAATAGCCACTGTAAGAATTATGTTGTAATCCAAACATTTGAAAGCAAACTGGACTCATCAAATATCAAATTTAACCATAACTCTTCTTCAGAAAATAAAACCAAAAAGGATGAAGAATTGATCTAATCTTAAATGTCACAACAGATTGTTCCTTTTCTAGTGTAATTTCTTTTGTAGGAATGAAGCATACTGGTGAGTAAGACCAGGGAGAATGGTGTTGAGTTGGTTATGTTATGGTTGAGAAATAATATCTCATTGAGTGAAGGCAAACCAAAACGAGGCTCTTGCCTTAATCAGAGACATTTGTCTGATTATGCAAGAAAAGTCTGTGTGTAGAAATGTTATGCACAAGAAAACTTGCTTTATGAAATATCATGTAATCTTTCCTTTCCAGGTTTCGTAAGAACTTCCCGATCTTACTGGAAGAAGAGCAGTCTCTCTATCCAGATGGACCCAACTATCTAACAGTGCAAGCACCCGCCTCAAAACTCCCTGAACGTAAACTTTGCGCTGTGTGTGGTTTCCCAGCTCCCTACACCTGCATTCCATGTGGATCACGATACTGCTGCACAAAATGTCTTTCTACTCATGAAGATACTCGGTGCCTAAAGTATACAGCCTAACGATTGAAAAAAACTGAAAAATGGCACATGTTTGACTACCAACCATATATTTGCAATTGTTAGTTATTCATTATAATATATAAATTGGGTGTTGTTTTATTGAAATGGTCAATCTTTTTAACAATGGAAATAAAATGCATATTTCTCCCCCCCAATTTTTTTTTTTTTTTTTTTCGATGAAACTTTGATGTTTTTGCATTGTGATTTTTTTTCTTTCTTTCTGAGAGTGAATCAGTTTTCTAAAATGTGAATATCAAAATCTTTTAGAATAATTATGAATAACAGCAGTACAGTACCTTCAAAATGTAATATGAAATGTTACTATGAATATCTTTTAGTTACTTAATTGTTCTTTGCTTGACATTATTAGCATAGACTTGGTTAGCCAGAAGAGAACCTTCATACTACCATTATTATTATTATTAATATATTATTATTTTTTGTTCATCAGCAAGTTAAAAGAAAATATTGTGAACTTCACATTGTTTGTTTTCATATTGCATGAAATGCAAGGACAGATAGGCATATTTGATATTATCATGGCATCAAATTATGTAATGTTTATTTTTACAAGGAATATGAATAAAACAGTGGCTTTCCCTAAATATCTATTGATATTAAAACCCTTTATAATAAAGTGACTGAGATATTTTTTCAAACTTACAAATACCAAGAGATGGTAAAAGAAGATAATGAATCTGTATGGAATCCTAAGTCATGTCTTCATCCGGGGGTTTATCAGTTATGTTGGGACCATCTTGTCTGTGCTTTTGAGGCATTGGGAGAAAATCCTTGTCTTCATCAAGATTGTGGCATACATCATCTTTATTGCCTTCTTCATCTTCGTCGTCATCATCAAAATACCTTTCCTCATCATCTCTGGCTCTTATTTCTAGAAGGTCGTAATCGTCACTGGTATCAACTTGTCTGAAAAGCATGAGATAATATATTTCTGTGCTAAACATCTATGCCTATCTATATATTTGTTAGATTAAACTTACATATAAGTTAAATGGTGCATAAGCACAAAATGTACAAAACTGGCATGTTGACTCATATCTCTTCTTAAATATTAATGTCTCTGAATGTATGCAAATGTGTGAATATTAAAATGTAAGTGAATATGCTTACTCTAGTGATTTTTTGGCTAAAAAGACATTAACTAACCCATAGTCAAATTCTTCATCTTTTCCATTCAAGAAGTTGAGGTATGCAGAAGAGTAAAATTCTTCCTTCAGTAATTGCTTCTCTCCTGATTCTACTTCCATCCCTGTGTCCATTTCTTCCTCCTCCTCCTCCTCATCATCCTCATCTTCCTCTTCTTCAAACATATCATCCTCCTCTTCTTCTTGGCGTTTCTTGAAGTCTTTCTTGTCTCGTGCATCAATGTGATGTAGAAGCACAGAAGAAAAACTGAAATTTAACACATATAAATCACCTATGGCTACTACTGCTATTTACAAAGAAATTAATATAGCTACATATTTATATTTGAAAAAAAAGCAATATAACCAAGTTTATATTATTTTTATATCTCTATATTTTATGTACTTCTGAACAAATGAATATACACAGCTATAACTTATAGTTATCACCTACAATGACACTATTCATAATTCATTTGGATAGAAGAAATTTTATTTTGCTTACCTGGCTTCATATTTCTCTACTGTGTATTTTTCTTTCCTTTCCTCTTCTGTCATATGTTTGCCAATCAAGTGATCATAAAGCAAAGGATTACGACGCTCCATTTCCTTCTCACTAAAGTAATCTCCTGACTTACGCAGTCTCTGCATTGCCCCATATCGTCTGTTCTTGACAGTAATTCTGTAGTAATTTTAAGTGATCAAATGATTATTAATGCACCTATATGTGCTTATCATTTTGTAAATATTACTTTGCATTGCAAACATTCTAACTAGCTACTGAGATTTAAATAAAAATAATAATTTTTGAAGCATTTCTAAAATTGAAACATTTCTAAAATTATGTACACTCTAAAACTTACTGTAAAAACACATTGTAATAAATATTTCCCATAAAATATGAAGATAATCAGGAACCTTTGCCTTAGGAAAATTATCAACTCAACTCAGAAAAAAAAAATAGAAACATTCATGATACTACTTTTAGAGGCCAATACCTTTATCAGCATTTAATTACCTGCATATATATTTCAATACTTACTTTGATGTATGTTTATTTAAATTCTTCATGGTCTCTGTGAGGTAATGATCTATCTCTGGGTTTCCTTCATACTTCAAAAAGTAGGTGAGGTGCTCTCTCTGGAGAAACTTTCCAAAGCTGGGGATAAATAGTTTGTTACAGACTTCCTATTGTATAGAAAAAAAAAGGCATAAACACATATACTTCAGAAATCACCCTGCATACATTTAAATGATCTGCAAATACACACCGATACAAGAACTGCCCTGGCTTTTCATCAAGCATTGTTTCAGCAATATTCCGTCTCTCTTCATAGGTAAAATCTGGTTCATATCTCTGCTGACTCTTGAGCACCACTTTGCTAGCAGCCAAGTGATGTATGATTCTGTCCTTTAAGGAAAGGCTCTCATCTGGAACATCCTCTTGATTGAGCTCCTCAGAGGAGGGTAAGGATTCCTCTGATTTGAGGAGTGTTTTAGGGGTTGTCGATACTGGTTGGTCTCTGCTCTCATCTTCAAACTCACCCCACATGATGGTTTTAATGCTGTGAATTGTTAAAGAACAGTAAATCAGAAATCAGGTGACATGGAGAGAGACAAGAAAGTGGGAGGGAGAGGGAAAGGAAAGGGGAGGAGGAGGAGAGAGAGACTAAGACAAATAGAGGATGGGGGGTGTACAATATGTACATAAATGTGTGCATGTGCATACAGGGATAGGTGTGTGTTTGTCTCCAAATGAAAATAAGAAAATATATAATGTTAAATCAGTTCTCATAAGCTCCTGTTACAAAGCCACACCAATAATCTTGCCATAGTACAAACATCGTACCTGCATTACTACTTAATCCTGCATTGCTACATATTCCAAACACTAGTGTCTAATATGTGGTTCTACAAAAGCTGTAAGACATTCCATTATTACATGAATATCATTTGTATTTCATCTGCGATTACTATTTTGAAATCGCTGACCGGCTGCCGGTCAAATAAGCAAGGTTCTAATTCACTAACATTCTATCCATTCAAGACATGAATTGTGTTTGGCAACTCTATCAATTATCTTGCTTCTTTTAACATCTAACTTACAGCTGTATATTTCCCGAAGAATTTACTGCACATTCAAAATTCCTATAAGCGTGCCCAATACGCCTAACGACGTTGTTTATGTCCCGTTGACTCAATGTAAACAATGGACATCGTAGTGGAGGGAGAGTTCAGTTCAGGGTTATGTTATGGATATATAAACCTTAAGAAATACTTAGATATGGTATATTTTGTCTTTTTTATGCAAGATACCAATATATTTAAGTAAATATTAATATTTCACTAAATATAAGTTATCATGACGATGCTAATACGTTTGCAATCGTAAAGTATGTAGTATTCAATACGTATATAAGGACCCGTCCTTTAGTCCTTTTATGCTTGCAAAAGGATTTGCGTATAAAAGAATATTTAACTTTATTTTCGTGAATTATCGACTGACGATCCCGCAGCCTCGGAAGACTTGTGATGAGAGCGACAGAAGAGCCCTTGTCAAGTACAGATAAATAAGAGAATAAGGTGGGTGCTGTGTGTGGCGAGAAGGGAGCCCCTGAGTGCGAGATGTGAGTGCCTCATGACCTCATCTCTTGCCTCATACACAAAGGGGCATCCCCACTCATTCCCTTCTGGCACTTGCATGTCCACGTGGAGTTGTCACGAGGACTGTCAAGTAATGAGATGAATGACTTTCGAGGAAATCAGGTATTGTTCATTGTTTTCTAGAATGTTTTTCTTTTCCAAGAATTCCCGTGATGTGGAAATGGAGAAGTAGTTGTCTACTTTCCATCACATCATGTCTGACGATAGTTATGGTAGAATCACCATTGTAATGTGTAGTAGACACCTACAGTGGCTTTCAGAGCCTGACTTTTTAACCACAGTGTTGTGGTTGTTTCATTTAAATCTTCCTGAAACCATCCTGTGACCTGTGTTCTGTGGTGCAATTACAATATGAAATATCATTAAGCATTTACTTTGGTAAATGCCAACAAATTTTCCCATGTATACAGGGACAAGAAAGTGCTTAGACATGAAAAGACCAAAGGTAAAACTGAGGTATAGCATACCCAGATAGCCAAACCCACCAGTGAAATTGTATCTTGGAGTACTTACTCTTCTGGACACATGTAGAGAAGTTACAGAACCATATAAATAAAATTGACATCAATATTTGACAAAGGGGTGAATCTGTACCATATTGATGCACTAAGCCAGGCCTAATTGAAGATGATATTGTTGAGGATGAAAAGTTCTTCAAAATATTTTTTTTTATTTTTTATTAATTGATTATTCTTGTTTCCAGGTGTCATGTAAGGAACTCCAGTCATCATGAAGGGAGGGAGTGAAGACCAGCCAAATGTAGATTCTCAGGCAAGTTCTGAAAACTTTATGTGTTAATTTAGAATGAATTTTCTTACTGTACTCATCAGTGACTACATTGTGAAATTATAGAGCTACTAAAAGATTATAATGTAAATAACTCTGCATTTTATATTGTTACATTATTTCTAATCATTGCTGTACTTCTTAAAGAAATTTACTAAGTACATCTTTTAACTTATGTAAAATTCTCTCCCAACAGGAGGAGGTAGTAGAACGTGTGAAGGCTCGCCTGCAGGAGGAAGGGCGAGAAGCACGAAACCTTGTGGCATATTCCTTACCCATACAGGACCCTCCTCAACCTGATGCTGGTAAGTAGGTGACACAATGAAGGAAAAACTTGAATCAGGGAAACGTAGATTTACCCCATTCTCTACGCTCTTGGCTGCAGCATTAAAAGATCATTCAGGTAGTAAGGCAAAAAAGAGGCTTTGAGTCTGCTTTTGAGGGGCTGTTTCTTCACAGTGACCACAGTTAACGGGCAGTCCCTCAGGGCCCTTGCTTAAACTAAGTAACCAAGTGAGTAGGTAACAGCCAGGGCCAAACAAGGGGACAGATGGTTAGTTCATGCAATTAAGAGCAGGTGTGGCTACTCTGGATTGAATAGGTTAATGTTCAGATAGCCTTTTTCTCTTTTGTGTATGGCATTCTTTATTATGTTTTAAACCATTTATGAATGTGTCTTTTATCTCTTACACAAATTGTGATGTGTAGTCTGCATACAGTATGCTCATAGCAAGTCTGGTCTACAAGAGTGAGTGAGTTCTGACCTAGATGCTAAAGAAATTTCCTACCAAGCAGTTGCTCTCTTAGTAGCTTAATAGTGTTAGAAGGCGTGAGGACAAATCTAATCCTGAAGTAATCTGTATGTTTTGCTTCTGTAAGTTAGTTTTTTTGTTATTGTAGGTTTTTAGATTATGAATAGTGATAGGGAGTATACAAAACTGTGAAAATTTAAGTTTTAATTTTTGGGTTTGTTATTTTTTTCTTTCAAGTATATGATTTATGAGAAAAAGATGTGTTTGTAATACATTCTCTCATTTTCCATTTAAGCAGGAATACGGCATAGAGAGGTCAAAAGAGTTGTGGAAATGACACCTAGACGGGGATCAAAGCAGGACAAGCGACCGAGATCGGCATCTGCAGGTCGAGACCCCCAAGCAAGTCAGTAAAGCTTCATTTTGTTGACAGGCTTTCCTTAAGATGTTAAAAGCATACATGTCTGGATTACTTATTATTATTATTTCCTTAGTATTTTTTATTAGAAGTTTACTTATTGGTATTTATCATTGGATTTCTTTAAGCTTAAGGGAACTTGTTTTAGGATCATCAAAATCATTCTGCATACTTTCTCTCCCCCCCCCTCGTTCTCTCTCTCTCTCTCTCTCTCTCTCTCTCTCTCTCTCTCTCTCTCTCTCTCTCTCTCTCTCTCTCTCTCTCTCTCTCTCTCTCTCTCTCTCTCTCTCTCTCTCTCTCTCTTTCTCTCTCTCCCTCTCCCTTTCCCTCTCCCTCTCCCTCTCCCTCTCCCTCTCTCTCTCCCTCTCCCTATCTCTCTTCCTCTCCTTCTCCCTATCTCTCTTCCTCTCCCTCTCCCTATCCCTCTCCCTATCTCTCTCCCTTTCTCTCTCCCTTTCTCTCTCTCTCTTTCCCTCTCCCTTTCTCTCTCCCTCTCCCTTTCTCTCTCCCTCTCCCTTTCTCTCTCCCTCTCCCTTTCTCTCTCCCTCTCCCTTTCTCTCTCCCTCTCCCTTTCTCTCTCCCTCTCCCTTTCTCTCTCCCTCTCCCTTTCTCTCTCCCTCTCCCTTTCTCTCTCCCTCTCCCTTTCTCTCTCCCTCTCCCTTTCTCTCTCCCTCTCCCTTTCTCTCTCCCTCTCCCTTTCTCTCTCCCTCTCCCTTTCTCCCTCCCTCTCCCTTTCTCCCTCCCTCTACCTTTCTCTCTCTCTCTCTCTCTCTCTCTCTCTCTCTCTCTCTCTCTCTCTCTCTCTCTCTCTCTCTCTCTCTCTCTCTCTCTCTCTCTCTCTTTCTCTTTCTCTTTCTCTCTCTCTCTCCTATCATTGATCACACTTAGTAGGTAGGAAGTAAGAATTGTAAACACAAATAATAATCTAATACCATAGTGCCCATAGTATGTATGTCATGCCATCACAGCAGGAATGGGATAACATTTACTGCAAGATGGCTCATTTAAATTTATTGTTCAGTCAGACAAATAGCTTTGGTGCCAGTAGTTTAGTCTTAGTTATTTATTTTATTTATGCATTTTTTTTTTTCAAAAGGTCTTCGGGCTCGTCACTGGGGATTTCTGTTTAGAAATTTACAGCAAGCAGTGGATGAGATCTACCAGACATGTGAAGATGATGAAAGCATTGTGGAATGCAAGGTAACTTCTTCATAAATCGTGATTTATTTACATAGTGCCTCTGCTTAGTTAATATCACTTCACTGCAATTATGAATATTTTTGTTTCATACGATAAAAGTACTAGAAAATAATTTTTGCTTCATTAAATACAAAAAATGCAAGCAAGTGTTAGCAGGTGGCTTTATTTGTATACAGTAGTGTTGTAGTGCCCCAGCCTAGGCCTTTAGCGAATGCCTTATGTCACAGCTATCAGGAAAGGTCACATTACTTTGTAAGAGATGAGAATCTTTTATGTGTGACACAAATTTGTTTTTCCTATTTTTCAGGAAGCAATTTTGATGTTGGAAAGGTACACTAGTGACTTTCAGAAGCTGATTGAATGGCTAAAACTGAAATGGGAATACGAACACACACCACCACCACAGCGACCAAATTCACTGACATGGGAGATTAGAACATCCTCACCTGGGAAGGTATGTTGGATGTTAAAAATGTTGGAAAAGTTTATCAGAACTACACAAATATTTTTTGCAGATATTTTTTTCTTTTTTGGTACAATATATTTGAAAGATTCCTATATACTATAATCATGATATTATCAGATTATGTTTGGTGTATATGTTATTTTTAACATCAATTGTAATATTAGAGTGACATTTTTTTCTCCTTTGGTCAATAGGCTTTACAGGCTGACCGGAAGATCCTAACTCTGAATGATGCAAGAAGAGCCCTGACATTTGACCTGAAGCCAGAGAGAATAGGCTTGATGAATGGTAATGCTGCTGCTTTGGAGAAGATGGTGGACAAGTTAAACTCTGCCAAACTTGCACAAGAAGGAAGAGGTAATGATGCACGCTTGTTATCAGGGAAGAAAACACCTCCAAAGCCTGTTATCATAGTGCATGAGGCAAGTATCGAAGAGCATCTGGAAGAGAATACTGCTGTTCTGAAAGTGAGCACCAGTGACATTGCTGAAGCTCCAGCCAATTGTGAAGTAGGGAAGGAACGGGAAAAGATCAGTGGAGGGAGAGAGGAAAACCACAAAGAAGATAATTTAAAAGAAAATGAGTGTAAAGTTGAAAGGTATACAAAAGCGGAAATGGACAGAAAAGAAGATATATTTAATGGTAATGTAATTGATGAAGAAATAAGTGAAGCCGTGGAAAATGAAGCAGGATCAGGGGAAGTGGTAATCAATGGTATTGGTGATGATGATGAAACCACAGAAATCAGTAGTGATATCAATGTGCCTAGAGATTCTCATAATGATTTACCTAGTAACGATACTGGCGAAGCACCTGAGAAGGTGGAAGCAGCCAAAAGTGGAAAGGAAGAGGGTGCCAAATTCACAGACACTCCAAAAGTGAAAGAGGCAAAACTGAGCAGGAACAATTCATCTCCTCTGAACATC